GGCCTCTTGGCCCTCAGAGAGCAGGGTGTGGGGCAGGTGAGGCTCGACGTGGTGGGAAAGGCTTTGCTGGGGCATGGAGGTGCCGTGACTGTGCCGGGAGGGGAAGAAACGTACTGTGGACTTCAGTTTTTTAGATGAGGGCAGAGTGGTATGGCCTTTGTATTGCCACGTTACTGGTTTGGTCCTGTTGGACGGTGAGGTGAGGGAAGAAGGAAAAGAAGTTGCTTGTTGTGTGGCTAAACTAGCCTGCTCAGATTTCCCTCTGCAATCCTGACACCAGAAACCTGGCAGCATGTTATTTGTGCAATTTCTTTCTCCCTGTTCCAGAAGATAAACGCGATATGGACGTGAGGTGAGAACAGGCTGTTTATACAGGCTCTTTCCAGGTTACTGGGCAGTCTCCCTGCATGACCTGCAGCTGCTGAGGGGAGGAGAGGCCTTTCTCCAGAAAGCCGCTGAGCCCGGGTGAGGCTCGTGCTCTAATGTGGCTTTGGAAACAGCTTTTCTTTCTGCATTCACGGTGGTAGAAGCCGATGGGCGACCAGGCTCCTGTAGTGTATGTTACCCCCATGACTGCTCCGCTGCCTCTCATCGCTCATCTCACTTCAGTTTCTCAGAAGCTGTTGTTTGATTCCCTCAGCGCCTGATGTGAAACTGCACTTTAACCGTGTTACCAGCTCTCAGCAGACTAGAGCAGTGTGGTTAATAAAGACCACCTGCTAACGCACTTGGAGCGGCTCCTGAGCAGCAGCCATCCCTCTCACTGTGCACGTGCCACTGTACAGAAAGCAGAATGAATATACTTTTTCTTACATCACCTCTCTTCTGGCTTCCGCTCATCTTTTCTGCCCCAGGCTGCCTGTACTAGAAGTCCTCTGACAGCACCATGCTCTGCCTGCGTTTGGGCTCTGAGCATAGGCACAAGTGCAGAAAATGTCCTGACAGGGCGAGTGATCCGTAGGGTGATTCCAGAAGAGATCCCTTGAGGGTCAACTCAACTACTCTTCCAACCGAATCAGAAATGCACAGCTTTATGGCATAGCCACTGATCTTGTAGATTGTATGGTGTCTTTTTAGGTACTGCGTGCCCACCTGAATACTGATTCAGCATTTTAAAGGCAGGTGGTGGAGAAGGGATGGTCATGGTTAAAACAGGTGAGGACTGAGAAGACTTCGGGTCCATTCCCGGCCTTGGAGCCTGTTTGCAGTGTAAACTGTGTCTTGTTCTTTGTGAAAGCTGGAGAGGGGCTGTTTGCAAGGGCAGGGAGTGACAGGCCAAGGGGAATGGCCTGAAGCTGCAGGAGGGGAGATGGAGATGGGATGTGAGGCAGAAATCCTTCCCTGTGAGGGTGTGGCTGCCCCTGGCTCCCTGGCAGTGTTCAAGGCCAGGTTGGATGGGGCTTTGGGCAACCTGGGCTAGTGGAGGGTGTCCCTGCCCATGGCAGGGATGGCACTGGGTGGGCTGTGAGGTCCCTTCCCACCCAAACCAGGCTGTCAGTCTATGAAATGAAAGGAAGGAAGCTGCTGTTCGTATTTGTCTCCTCTAGGAATATTGAGTTTGTTTATTTTGAAAATCTAAAATGAAATATTGACTACTTGTAACATTAGACATCATGAGCTTTATTTTCTTTTTTCCTGAAGGAAATTAAAGCATGGTATACGTGCAGAAGTTACGTGAATACCACCTACTTGCTATTTTCAAAATATTAAACACACTTCATAACTATCTTTGTAATATCAATTAATAGGGACTTCTATAGTTTTGTGTTTCACTGTTTTTTTTTTTTTTTTACATGTTCTGGAATTGTTAGTGTGCTGCCTTCACAATAATGAAGCTTGGGATTCTCAAATGCTAATCCTGTTGGTCCTTTCCACGCTATCCATAGCCCAGGGCAATAGGTTTAACTGTAGTGTTTTATTTCCTCTTTTGCAAAAAGAACACTAGAAGCATTATTCCCATTAATTTTTTATTACCATAATTAGTCTCTTCCATGGTTTGTTCCTGACAGCAAAGCATTCTGCTGTTACATGTTATTCTTCTATGCTAAAAACTGCACATGTGGTAAACTTTTCTAATCCTGGCTGTTCTTGATGTTTAACACTAGCATTTTTCATGCATTTTGGATTTTGCTACTCTTGGTAACAACCACAAGATAGTGTTTTAAAAATAATCTTTAAAAGTCATGCTGCCTGCTTGCTTCTGCCTGGCCCTCACGTTCTGTATGTAATTTGGATTTCAATTTATGAAGGGGAAGCACAGTAGTAGCAACATACGTTGATATTAATAATAGAAAGTTTTCTGCTAATTTGGTTAAGTTTGGAACGGTTTTAGAAAAAAACAATAATCCCAAAAACGTGAATTTTAACCATCTTGGCTCAAAATGTAAACTATTTTAAAATATTGTTATTGCAGGTGAAATGCCAGCCCCTGAGCAGACCCCGATGGTGGAGGAGGGGCCGCCGCAGACAACACAGGAAACTTCCACAGGCCCAGGCATGGAACCAGAGACTACCGCCACCACCATTCTAGCTTCTGTAAAGGAACAGGTATACACCTTGCTTTCAGCAGTTCGGAAACTCACTGTGCATTGTGGAGCTAACAATTGTCTTTTATTGCATTGCTGGAAGAAAACATCATTGTTTCTAAAACGTGTTGCCTAGCGTTAGCATAGTGTATTTTGTACATCAGAATGTTAGAATCTGAATATAAGGGGTTCATTTAATTGCATTGAACAGAAGCATCATTATGGTATTCTGTATCCCTTGGAACGTATGCCCTGTTGTGGTAAATCAGACTTGAAATGCAGGTTTATTGTTTGTTTTTTTTTTAAAAAGCTGACGTAGAATTGGTGCGACATTGAGAACCAGTCCTTTTAGTACACTCTGCAAAGTTGTGTACAGTGTTACAGAAATTTGCACATAAAGGTTTTGGTATGATTAATTGTATTTTGTTAAAGAATGGGTTTTAACCTTTGAGTTTGGTTTCAGTTATCAATACCAAGGTAGTAATATATTTTAAATCTGCAACACATTTATGGGCATATATATCTTAGTGCTAGACTGTATAGGGAAAATAAAATTGTGTTTGAAATCAAGTTCAGCTTAAATTTGTAAAATCGTTCAAGGGGAAAAAAATTGCAGTTCTACAAAGAAATTCTAACTAAAGTTTTTGGGTTTGTTTTTAAAAAAAAAGAAGGGATCGTTTGGCTAGCATTGTCAGAACTAGAAATAAGGATCATCTTTCTTGGATAAAACGTAAATTGTAACATCTGAATTTCAGAATAAATCTGCTTTGCTGTCTCTGTTTCAGAACTTCTTTTAAGATAAGTCTGTACTCAGTCCAAGATAATAACTCTGAATGCAAACACTTGATGTATTAGTTCTCATATGTTGTCCCATATTAATATTTAAAAAAAGAAGGTGAGAATTAGATCATTTCATCTTGATATCAAGATTTCATACCCATAGAACTGCATTCTTAAATGAAAATTTTCTGCAGGATGATGAAATTTGGCTCTTTATTTTCATGCCTAAATTAATAGTTTCAAAAATATTTTAAGATGACAGTAGCAACCGTAATAATTTCTTTGTGATATTAAAACTAATATTAAATCTTCCAGTGCGAAGGATATTAATGCTGGAGGCTGTCAAGATATGAGTAAACACAGTCATCTGAGTTAGTGATCTTAAGTCACTTCCCATCATCTCAGACAGTAGTTTGCCTTGTGCCATCTTAGCTTCTCACAAATGTCAGTTACAACTCATATGCTTAAAGTACAGTTGTGGTGATTTTAAGTTGGTCCATTTTATTTTGCAGTTCACAAAGAACATGCTCGTAATGCTAGCTTGGATGATGAGCAGCATTGCAATAAATGACAGTACTGTAATTGCTGGTGATCACCAGCCAGTAGTCTTACTGTTGTGATTCCTGTCCAGATAGCTTCTGCAGTTTTGATGCAATGATGATTGCTTAAACTGAACATACAATTAGGACAGCATTGTCTATAATAGATTGATACATAAGTATGCAGCAAAAAGGCATTTGTTAACATTCCCTTTCCTACCCAAGAAATGTTTTTATCTTATTCTTAGAGAAAAAATGATAATGGAATATTTTTTAATTTTAAAAAGGAGATTAGAACCTCTTCCCCTTTCCAGTCATAAAAGAACTATTAGACATGTGGACTGTTAAGTAACTCAATTCTGATGAAAGGAAAAAATAAAATTGTGTTTAATAGTTAGTGTAACACAAACTTCAGAACTGTAGCTTAACTTTAAAATGTATAGACACACTAGAATGAATATAAGGGGGAGGAACATGTGAATTGTCCTTCATTCTTGAAAATGATAACGTGAAGGAATTAAGAGCTGAACTGTTGCTTTTTGGTATTTTTTCTGTTGATAATAATTATGGACACTGACATATTCAACACCCTTCCTGTATGGCAGAAAGCCCAGAACAGAATATTTTCCAGTGCAGTTATTTACTTTATTAAGCTTAAACAGAAACTACTATGCTGTTTGCTATGGCCTAACTTCCTTTTATACAGGAATCTCTCTTGATTTGCAGTAGGTCTGTATTTGTAAGAATTGCCACACCTTAATTTCATTGCTTCAGAAACACTTTCTACAGTGGAAACACAATTCAGAAAAGCCTTTGTTATTACTTGTCAAATTGTGCAAGATTTTAACTTAATAAAAACTTTTAAAATTGCTACAGTAGTTCTGAAATAGGTAGATAAATTTATTGAATGATGTTGTTAAGCTTTCTACCATAGTGGCATAGATACAATTTTAGGAAAAGGTTGCACGAATTAGTCTATGAACCCTACAAGCCACTTTAAATAAACTCTCCATTCATTTATTTTTCCTGTGACCCCCACATCAGTTTAAAGCAACTTTTTTGCCAAACTGGAGTGTGTCCTCTGAACTCTGAACAGTCTCATTGAGACAAAATTGTGAGACAGCTGTGTAAATCTCCCTTGATTATATTTTAGGAAAGAAACACATCCATTCAGTTTTAGTGATTTAAAATAATGTGTGCAGAACAAGTGCAATCTGTGAAGAAATTTAGATTACTAGAACTTTGTGCTTTTCTGACAAAGTTCAAGCTTTGTTTTAATGTAAAAACACATCCCTAATTAGTGTAAATTGACACTACCACCATAACCACCACTGGCTTTGGGGTAGGGGGGGATATTTCTTTTACCAGGTTAAGTTATTCTGTTTGCGGATACACCAGTTGATGTACTTTTGGATGAAAATCAAGGGAAGGACTGACTCTTACTGGTATAAGTTGCATCTCTAGTGGAAGAATTCCTTTTTGAACGCAGGGAAATCCTAAGGCTAACTGTAATGAAGTTGAAACATATTTTGGCCTTTTTTTTCTTTTAGTGGATTTGATGATGGGTTGTGGGATTTGGTTGGGGTTTTTTGGGGGGGTTTGTTTGGGGAGAGTGTTGTTTTCTGTGGATTTGTTTTGGAGGTAGTTTGTTGTTGATGGTTTGTTGGTGGGTTTGTTGGTTTTTTTGGTTTTGTTTTTTCCAAAACTTGTATTTAATTTCTAAAATGTTACAAAGTTTCCATGCTATAATGCATAGAAGTATCTTAGGAAATGCTGAAACAGGTTTTAAGTAAAACTAAAACATTAAAATATACTTGTCTATATTTCTGAATCCTGAGGAGTATTTGGATAAAAGTTTAGCTGAGTTCTGTAGGGAGTCTCTTATCCATATTAAAAGCTGAGTATTTTCATGCTAAAATAACAAGTTGTTAAAAATTGTAGGGGCAACATCATAGCAGTTACTTTTTTCCGGGGTTGTGTTCAGCTCTGGGGTCCCCAGGACAAGAAGGACATGCAGCTGTTGGGGCAAGTTCAGAGGAGGCCATGAAGCTGATCAGAGGGCTGGAGCACCTCTGCTATGGAGACAGGCTGAGAGCATTGGGGTTGTTCAGTCTGGAGAAGAGAAGGCTGCGGGGAGACCTTAGAGCCCCTTCCAGTCCCTGCAGGGGCTCCAGGAAAGCTGGAGAGGGGCTGTTTGCAAGGGCAGGGAGTGACAGGCCAAGGGGAATGGCCTGAAGCTGCAGGAGGGGAGATGGAGATGGGATGTGAGGCAGAAATCCTTCCCTGTGAGGGTGCTGAGGCCCTGGCAGAGGGTGCCCAGAGAAGCTGTGGCAGCCCCCTGCTCCC